GTCCCCGCCCGCAGGCCCCGCTACGTGCTCCCCGCCACGGCCTCGCCGACCCGGTGCCCCAACCCGCGCCACCCGTAGAGGCCAAGCGAAGGGCCACGGGAGCCAAGGGCCTGAGGACACCGGCGAGGCCTCGGAGGCTGCGCGCCCAGCCTCCGAACCCCGCACCGGCCAGCCGCGCACTAAGGCTCACCCGCGGACAGCGGCACCAGCCGCCGCGCAACGCCGCCGCCGCCATGTTGGAGGACCCCGCGCGACCTTCTCGCGGCGCTGCCTGATGGCGTCACCCACCGCTTCCACCTGGCGCGTCACCCGCCTGCGGAAAGCTGGCCCGGCAGGGCAGGGTTCAGGAGGAGAGGTCCTTGATTGGACAAGACTTATGATAATCTTGGCTTCTGATAGGGCAGCGTTTTGGAAGAGCGGGGCTTATGATTCGCTATCATTTTTAGGGGCGGGCACTGCCATGAGGCTCCGACCTGTGGCTGGGCGAGACTTCGAAGGGGCTGGGCCTGGCAGGCCGTGGGTTCAACTCGGAGGGTGAGTGCTGCTTAAGACTCTTGCAGTGCTGCGAGGCTGAAGCAAACCGCAGGCACGAAGACCCACCGAGCTTACGGTCGGGTTCAGCTGCGTTCTGACTTTGCGGTGGACTAAACTCGAGTGATCGACTCTTTCTCTACCTGATAATGACTGGCAGTGACCGACCGGCGAGCGAGTTGCTCCAAGAGGAAGAGTGAAGGAGCCCACTGCTGCGCGGCGACTTTGCTGTTGATTCTGCCCTGAACAGGAGAGGACGCCGAGTCCAGGCTGGCTGTCGGCCCGTCCTCCGTCCGTCAGTGTAAACTGACACGCTGGCCTTGAAATCCAGGACTTTGTCATTGCAGCGGCCTGCTGGTTTTCATTTGGAGGATGGCGCCTCCAAGCGACAGGGCTTTGATCTGCAGCTGTGGAACAGAGGAGGGCGGGCGCGGTGGGGCGGGAATGTACAGGCGATCACAACGTACAGTGAGTGCTGGTTGTTTATGTTTGCAGGACCTGATGATCACATTCCTGTGGGAAGGTGGTACACGGACGTAACACATCTTGATTCTTCTTACTTCTTCCCTCCCCTCCCACAGTGTTTTTTAAAAAGTTACTACCGTCAAAGACACGTTGCCACCAGGCATAGTGACGCACACCTGTAATCCCAGCAGTGGGGAGACTGAGACAGGAGGGTCACTGCGGCCAGCATGCACTATATTGTGAGACCTTATCTGCAAAGAAAAAAAAAAAGGCCCATTGCCACTAATCCCACTCCAAATACTCCCTCAATGTTTACAGTAATAATGTTTTTAAAAATTATGGGCACTCACCTTATTTGGTGATCACCCGGTGTGTACGGCCATTCCTTCTATTGAACACGTTCTCATTCATAACTTCTGATGCACACCTGTGGGACGCCTGCAGCAGGCTGCTGAAGATGGGAGGGGGCTCCACCCTCTGAGGCTTCCTCCCTGGGACAGGGTCAGCCTCAGGGACCGGTAGCCACCACTGATCTGGATTCTGAGAACATAAACAGTGTATTTGCTGCGGAAACACGCGTTTACTGTGTGTCAACGAGTAAGAGGTGTATGTGGTGGGATCTCTGTAGACCAGGCTGTGATGGATTGACAGCTGGTGGTCAACTTGTAACCCCCAGCTGAACTGAACCAGCATGGTGCTGGGTGTGGGAGGCCCACCTAAGGACTGTTGCCGGCAGCATAAGAGGCAGAACTGGAGAGGAAGAAGTTTAAAAGCTGTTCAGGAAGCTGCGGAGAGCTGTTGGTTCTCCTGGAGGACCTTGTCATGCTGGCTTTCCTGACAGGAGCTCGGCTGTTCTCATCATCGGAGGAGCTCAGGACTGGTTCTTTGAGCATTGCTTACTGGCTCCAGTGCAGATCCCTCAGCCTGCTAGCACAGAGCCTTCCTCCCGCTGGCACAGATTTTCTAGCTTCCACCACTGACCTTTGGGCCTTCTCAGCACAGATCTGTGAAACAGGCCTGCATGAGACATTGTCAGGGGCTCTGGGCTCCAGTTGGATTCGTGGGAGGCATTGTCATGGGCTCCAGGTCTTCAGCTGGACTCACACGGGACACTGCCGTGAGATCCAGGCCTCCAGCTGGATTGTTTGCTCTTTAGTGTGTGGTCAGACTTCCTGCACTCTTTTTGTGTATGACTCTTTGGGTGATTATTATAAAATAATTCTATAAACTGTGTCCTGTATTAAATTGTTCACCCTTGCAGAACCCCAAACTACAACACAGGCACATTTGGTAGGCTTCACTAACCTACCCAGGAGGAGCAACTCTACGCTCCCCCATGGAGCTAGGGATTGAATCCACTGGGCAAGCCCTCTACTGAGCTTTGTCCCTGGCCCTCGTCTATACTTTTTTAGTATAGTTTTACTTATTTTTGTTTTTTTGAGACAGGGTCTTGCTATGTAGTTCAGGCTGGCCTTAAACTCAGTACCCCAAGCTGACCTCAAATTTGAGGTGATCCTCTTGCCTCAGCTTCCCAATTGATAGGAGTACAAGGGAGTGTCACTGTGCCCTGCTGAAGAAGTTTACTTTTATTTTAAAAGAAAGGAAAGAGGCAGCATGGCACTGAGGAATAGGCATTTTGTGACTTCAGCACTGGATAAACCCTTCCCTTAGGAACTCCACTTCCAGAGTGGAGAAAGAGAAGGCACCCACTCTGGCTTAGACACGTCTTTAAGGATAGACTAGCAGCTAGGCTCACCTGTAATCCCAACATTCTGGGAGGCTGAAGCAGGAGGATCACAAATTCAACTCCAGCCTGGGCAATTTAGTGAAATTCTATCTCAAAAAAAAAGAAAGAAGGAAAGAGTTCAGTGTGGTGGCGCACACCTGTAATCCCAGCACTTAAGAGGCTGACACAGGAGGATCATTGCAAGTTCAAGACCAGCCTGGGCTACAAAGTGAGCTCAGAGGCAGCCTGAACTGCATAGCAAGACCCGTCTCAAAAAGACCAAAAGGAAAGAAAGAAGAAAGAAAGAAAGAAAGAAAGAAAGAAAGAAAGAAAGAAAGAAAGAAGGAAAGAGGAAAGAAAGAGAAAGAAAGAAAGAAAGAAAAAGAAAGAAAGAAAGAGAGAGAGAAAGAAAGAAAGAAAAAAAAAAAGAGAAAATGAATTGCCAGGTGAGGTGGCATATACATACAATCCTAGCACTCAGGTGGATGGTGCAGGAGGATCACCATGAGTTCAAAGTCTGCCAGGCTATGTAGTAAGTTCAAGGCTAGCCTGGACTACATAGCGAGACTCTGTCTCAAAAATTTTTTTTAAATAATAATGGCTGGGCATTTTATGCAGTGCAAAGGCCATGGGCTCAATCCCCAGTACAGGGGGTAAAGAGTAGTAGACTAGTGAAGCAGCTTAGGTGTATAGATTTGTTGAGAAGGTTTTACCTGGAAATACATTTTAGTTGTCATGGAAACCACAGCACTAGACAAGGGCCCTGGGACAGGGTAGCCAATGGGCACCCCTCACTGGAGCAAAGCAGCTGTGGGGTGGGGCGGACCATCCAGGAGGCAGAAGAGAGCTGTAGGCAAGGCAGGTGGGACCAGTGGTAGAGACCCTGCAGACTTCAGGTAAGGACAGGGCGAGCCCTCTCTGTGATACAAAGTTCTATGGGGGAGATGAGCCAGGCTTTTGTAGAAGAGAGAGAGGGAAGCCAGACTGTAAAGGGTTGAGAATGTTTTCCTCCCAGCGTGCTGGAACCAGCTCTTACAGCCTCCCAAGAGCCAACTGGCACATTTTCAAGAACTTCGAAGGCAGTTGTTAAACACAGCCAATACTTAACAGTTAATTGTGTAAAATTACGATCAAATGGATTCTATTAGAACAAAGGTAATAGCCCCAATTCCCCACTCCTTAATTATTTTACTACATCAGTAGGTTTGTGTTTTTTTTTTTTCTAAACAGTCTCAGGAAGTTGCCCAGGCCGGGCTCCAATTCGTGATCCTTCTGCCTCAGCCTCCACCAGTGCTGGGATTATAGGTGTACACCACCATGCCCTGCTTTATCTGTATGCACGAAGTTATTTACAGAGTCATGTGCCACGTAATGTCACTTCAGGCATTAACACATCATACATACAATGGCCATTGGTCCTGTAAGATTTTTGTTTTTGGAGACATGGTCATTTTACTTCAATTTCTATTTCATTGGTTTTGGTTTTTTGAGACAAGGTCTTGCTATGTAGCCCAGGCTGGCCTAGAACTCACGGCAATCGTTCTGCCTCAGCCTCCGGAGTGCTGGGTTACAGGCATGTTCCACCGCACCGGGCTAGCTTATATATATATATATATATTTTTTGGTTTTTCAGTTTTTCTCCGGTACCGGGAACCGAACTCACGACCTTGCGCTTGCCAGGCAGGCGCTTTGCCGCTGAGCTAAATCCAGCCCCTAGCTTATATATTTTGACACAATAAATTGGGGGTCTTGATAAATTGGGGGAGGGGCTCGATAAACTGCCCAGGTCTTGAACTTACAATTTTGCCTCAGGCACCTGAGTAACTGGGATGACAGGTACGTACCACAGCCGCTGACCGTGTATTACACCTTTATCATTATTTTAGGGTGTACTTCTTCCACTTGTGCAAAAATACACTGTAGACAGTCTGCATATCACTCCTGCCGCAGCCTCATTCATGTCACATTTACCATGGCTCTTGACTGGGCCACAACCATCAGGTCTAAATACACACACTCTATAAGCTGGGTCTGGTGGCACATCTGTAATCCCAGCACTCAGGAGGTGGAGGCAGGAGGATCGCCGTGAGTTCTAGGTCAGCATAGGCTACACAGTGAGACCCTGTCTCAAAAAAAAAAAGGCATGCTCTGATGTTCACAATGGTGAGAGCGCTGGTGATGCCTCAGATCACGCCCCGCCGCTCTGCATCGCATGCCTGCTTACGGTGTTCTCTTAGCCATTCAGTCTTTGATGATGCCTGGTTGGTGAAATCAGCCACAGCGAGAATATCCCCACTGTGCACGCGACAAGCACCAGAGACCCAGGGCTTTCTCACTTGTTTATTGAGACAGCTGGGTACTAGACATTTTCCAGCACAGCAGTGGTTGAAAATGTGGGGACAGTGAACACACATATATTGGATAAACCCAGGGCCTTCATGCTAACCTACAGCACCTTTTAAAAGTTTTTATTTTAAAAAAATAAGTTTTTATTAGTACATGTCTGCAGTATA